ACCTCTCGATTTCCATGCTTGGAATTTCATTTTGATCCGCAATGAGAGGAATTAAAATTATATTCCTTAATTAATATTCCATTAAATCTGAAAGTTACCCTGACTGCAAAGGACAATGGGAAATTCTATTTTAATGGTCTCTGTCATTCCATAAAGCCAATGCATAGTAAAAAGAAAAGGAGTACTTGTGGCACCTTAGAGACTAACCAATTTATTTGAGCATGAGCTTTCGTGAGCTACAGCTCACTTCATCGGATGCATAAAAGTGGAAAATGCAGTGAGGATATTTTTATACATACAGACCATGAAAAAATAGGTGTTTATCATTTTGAAAGGTTTTCTCCCCCCCCACCCCACTCTCCTGCTGGTAATAGCTTGTCTAAAGTGATCACTCTCCTTACAATGTGTATGATAATCAAGGTGGGCCATTTCCAGCATAAATCCAGGGTTTAACAAGACCGTCTGAGGAAGGGGCGGGGGGAGGGGGAACAAGGGGAAATAGTTTACCTTGCATAATGAGAAAAGGAGTACTTGTGGCACCTTAGAGACTAACCAATTTATTTGAGCATGAGCTTTCGTGAGCTACAGCTCACTTCATCGGATGCATACCATGGAAACTGCAGCAGACTTTATATACACACAGAGACCATGAAACAATACCTCCTCCCACTCCACTGTCCTGCTGGTAATAGCTTATCTAAAGTGATCATCAAGTTGGGCCATTTCCAGCACAACTCCAAGTTTTCTCACCCTCCGCCCCCACACACACAAATTCACTCTCCTGCTGGTAATAGTCCATCCAAAGTGACCACTCTCTTCACAATGTGTATGATAATCAAGGTGGGCCATTTCCTGCACAAGTCCAGGTTCTCTCACTCCCTCACCCCCCCCCCACCCCCATACACACACAAACTCACTCTCCTGCTGGTAATAGCTCATCCAAAGTGACCACTCTCCCTACAATGTGCATGGTAATCAAGGTGGGCCATTTCCAGCACAAATCCAGGTTCTCTCACTCCCTCACCCCCCCCCCACCCCCATACACACACAAACTCACTCTCCTGCTGGTAATAGCTCATCCAAAGTGACCACTCTCCCTACAATGTGCATGGTAATCAAGGTGGGCCATTTCCAGCACAAATCCAGGCTTTCTCACCACCCCCCCCCCCGGAAACACACACACACACACACACACACAAACTCACTCTCCTGCTGGCAATAGCTCATCCAAACTGACCACTCTCCAAGTTTAAATCCAAGTTTAACCAGAATGTCGGGGAGGGGGGCGCTAGGAAAAAACAAGGGAAAATAGGCTACCTTGCATAATGACTTAGCCACTCCCAGTCTCTATTTAAGCCTAAATTAATAGTATCCAATTTGCAAATGAATTCCAATTCAGCAGTTTCTCGCTGGAGTCTGGATTTGAAGTTTTTTTGTTGTAAGATAGCGACCTTCATGTCTGTGATTGCGTGACCAGAGAGATCGAAGTGTTCTCCGACTGGTTTATGAATGTTATAATTCTTGACATCTGATTTGTGTCCATTTGTTCTTTTACGTAGAGACTGTCCAGTTTGACCAATGTAAATGGCAGAGGGGCATTGCTGGCACATGATGGCATATATCACCAAGCCTCTGATAGTGTGGCTGATGTTATTAGGCCCTGTGATGGTGTCCCCTGAATAGATATGTGGGCACAGTTGGCAACGGGCTTTGTTGCAAGGATAGGTTCCTGGGTTAGTGGTTCTGTTGTGTGGTATGTGGTTGCTGGTGAGTATTTGCTTCAGGTTGCGGGGCTGTCTGTAGGCAAGGACTGGCCTGTCTCCCAAGATTTGTGAGAGTGTTGAGTCATCCTTCAGGATAGGTTGTAGATCCTTAATAATGCGTTGGAGGGGTTTTAGTTGGGGGCTGAAGGTGACGGCTAGTGGCGTTCTGTTATTTTCTTTGTTAGGCCTGTCCTGTAGTAGGTGACTTCTGGGAACTCTTCTGGCTCTATCAATCTGTTTCTTCACTTCCGCAGGTGGGTATTGTAGTTGTAAGAAAGCTTGACAGAGATCTTGTAGGTGTTTGTCTCTGTCTGAGGGGTTGGAGCAAATGCGGTTGTATCGCAGAGCTTGGCTGTAGACGATGGATCGTGTGGTGTGGTCAGGGTGAAAGCTGGAGGCATGTAGGTAGGAATAGCGGTCAGTAGGTTTCCGGTATAGGGTGGTGTTTATGTGACCATTGTTTATTAGCACTGTAGTGTCCAGGAAGTGGATCTCTTGTGTGGACTGGACCAGGCTGAGGTTGATGGTGGGATGGAAATTGTTGAAATCATGGTGGAATTCCTCAAGGGCTTCTTTTCCATGGGTCCAGATGATGAAGATGTCATCAATATAGCGCAAGTAGAATAGGGGCTTTAGGGGACGAGAGCTGAGGAAGCGTTGTTCTAAATTAGCCATAAAAATGTTGGCATACTGTGGGGCGATGCGGGTACCCATAGCAGTGCCGCTGATCTGAAGGTATACATTGTCCCCAAATGTAAAATAATTATGGGTAAGGACAAAGTCACAAAGTTCAGCCACCAGGTTAGCCGTGACATTATCGGAGATAGTGTTCTTGAGGGCTTTTAGTCCATCTTTGTGTGGAATGTTGGTGTAGAGGGCTTCTACATCCATAGTGGCCAGGATGGTGTTATCAGGAAGATCACCGATGGACTGAAGTTTCCTCAGGAAGTCAGTGGTGTCTCAAAGGTAGCTGGGAGTGCTGGTAGCGTAGGGCCTGAGGAGGGAGTCTACATAGCCAGACAATCCTGCTGTCAGGGTGCCAATGCCTGAGATGATGGGGCGCCCAGGATTTCCAGGTTTATGGATCTTGGGTAGTAGATAGAATATCCCAGGTCGGGGTTCCAGGGGTGTGACTGTGCGGATTTAATCTTGTGCTTTTTCAGGAAGTTTCTTGAGCAAATGCTGTAGTTGCTTTTGGTAACTCTCAGTGTGATCATAGGGTAATGGCTTTTAGAAAGTGGTGTTGGAGAGCTGCCGAGCAGCCTCTTGTTCATAATCTGACCTATTCATGATGACAACAGCACCTCCTTTGTCAGCCTTTTTGATTATGATGTCAGAGTTGTTTCTGAGGCTGTGGATGGCATTGTGTTCTGCACGGCTGAGGTTATGGGGCAAGTGATGCTGCTTTTCCACAATTTCAGCCCGTGCATGTCGGCGGAAGCACTCTATGTAGAAGTCCAGTCTGCTGTTTCGACCTTCAGGAGGAGTCCACCTAGAATCCTTCTTTTTGTAGTGTTGGTAGGGAGGCCTCTGTGGATTAGTATGTTGTTCAGAGATATTTTGGAAATATTCCTTGAGTCGGAGACGTCGAAAATAGGATTCTAGGTCACCACAGAACTGTATCATGTTCGTGGGGGTGGAGGGGCAGAAGGAGAGGCCCCGAGATAGGACAGCTGCTTCTGCTGGGCTGAGAGTATAGTTGGATAGGTTAACAATATTGCTGGGTGGGTTGAGGGAACCATTGCAGTGGCCCCTTGTAGCATGTAGTAGTTTAGAAAGTTTAGTGTCCTTTTTCTTTTGTAGAGAAGCAAAGGGTGCGTTGTAAATGGCTTGTCTAGTTTTAGTAAAATCCAGCCACGAGGAAGTTTGTGTGGAAGGTTGTTTTTTTATGAGAGTATCCATTTTTGAGAGCTCATTCTTAATCTTTCCCTGTTTGCTGTAGAGGATGTTGATCAGGTGATTCCGCAGTTTCTTTGAGAGCGTGTGGCACAAGCTGTCAGCATAGTCTGTGTGGTATGTAGATTGTAATGGATTTTTTACCTTCAGTCCTTTTGGTACGATGTCCATCTGTTTGCATTTGGAAAGGAAGATGATGTCTGTCTGTATCTGTACAAGTTTTTTCATGCAGTTGTAAGTTATCTGGCAATGCATAGTAAGTTATCTGGCAGGCACTCCCATTTACCAAGCCTCAGAGAAATACAGCTCTCAGAATCTCCTTTAGGAAACTCCACCCCTCTTCCAGGGGAAATTGTTATAACTGTTACTATGCATGCTGTTCCCTGCTTGTAACACACAGGTAGGATGAAGGACAGCTTGGAGCAAAGCTACAGTGGAATAAATCCCAGAGGAACTGTCCAGCTATTGGTGTTTGATGCTTAAGCATGAGCTTACTTATCTAATGTGATAAAACAGACCAGCTGTATGGCACACACAATTCAATGTAATGTTTAAGTCAGAAATATTTCTTATTTTCCATTGAATGTACTATATTCCAAATGATCACAGGATATTATTAGTCAGTGTGCTTCAGCTTTACATTATTCCAAATGTCAGATCCAGAACATATTAGAAACTCTTACTCAAATCATTTACATTCCATCTATGTTCGACAAGACATAGGATATTACTTTCATGCTCTTGATTATTAGATCTATATTAGTTTCATAGATATTTATCAGGTAAGCCAAAGTAGCTGCTCTTCCTTTTGTTAGCCATCTGTATTTGCATTACCATTTTATGTACTGGTTTATAAGTAATAGAATTACTTTAAGACTCCAGCAAAAAAGTTCATCTGATTGGATTTGTCTGCAAATTGAACTATTACATTCAAGCCACCTTAGATAAATCTCTAGAGATCTGCAGATTGTATAATATTCATGGAAATGAGCTATCTGTACACATTAAATAATTACGCAAAACTTACAGGTATTAATTTTATTTAATTTCCTCAAGATCATATATGTAACGTCTCCCATTGAAGTGCATGAGTGAATACCCAGCTAACAACCTTTTGCCAGCCCTGTCAGAAATCTCGATGGTTGCCATTTCAGAATTCCTGGAAATGATGCCAGAGGGCAAGATTCTATTTTATTAAATTATTTGCTCAGATCCAAAAGTTACATTTGTTTAATATCCTGTGTAATAAATAACATAACATGAAAATATATTAAACACAAAAAATAACATGCAGAACATTCCCTTGTTATATTAACATTACACACATTTGTGTTACAAAAAACTTTTTAATTTCACTAGTAAAACCACATGGCATTTATATAATATAAATATGCAATCAAAGGGGGGGAAGTGGAGTATAAAAAAGACATTTCATATCAGTTTTAGTACAAATAAATAGCAAGTGTTTTGTACTATTGATTGTAATTGTACTGACCTGATGCGTTAAGGGGAAATTCTGAATACTACTGCAAGTCACAACAGGCCTAGTCATGCTCTCATTGAAGTCAACGGTCAAACTCCCTCAATTTCAATGGAAGCGTGATGGGTCACAGTTTGGGCCTAATCCAAAGACCAGTGAAGCCAATGGAAGTCTTTCTTTTCACTTCAATAGCTTTAAATCAGTCAGGTCCTTAGTCATTTTCCTCCATTAACATTTTAAACAAGTCCATATACTTTTGAAATAGTGCCTTGCTAAAATGGATAGAAAAATACAAAGAATAGAAGATGATACTGATGTTTTGGTTGATTGCTCGTATTCTGGTTGGAAATTATTGCCGTAAGTAAGGTCCGCCTGAAGCCACTGAACCGAAAGACATATTCAAATTGTTTCTAAACTGTTTGCCACATGACTGATCAGTCCAGGAGTGAAGGGTGATCATTAATCCATTTAGATTAGAAGTAATTTGCTTGTAGATTAACACTATGTTAACCTTTGAAAGTTTTGATGAGCCATGCCAATTTTTTCACACTAAAAGGAAAAGAAAAAGATTTTCTCCTTTTTTAATACTACAGTGATCAAACAGCTTAGACTTTAAGAATGTACCCTTACATTTAATTATGAATTCTTTCCTATGAAATTTCACAATTTTTTTGGGCATTCCACAACTCTACCCCCCACCCTCCAATTTTGGCTGAAACATGAAATATTTCATTCCAGAACGCTGTTTCATAGGAACTGCAGTTTGTGTCCCTCATGCCCCCCCGCCCCCTGTAGGCCAGCTCTCTGGTCAGATTACTCTTGGTGAGAGGAGGCAGTGCAACATGGGGGAAAGTGCAGCTGGGGACCCTGGGGAACCTAGACCAGAAAGGAGAATAGGGACAAGAGATAACCTAACTACATGTCCCAAGAGGCAGCATACCCAAATCAAAATATTTTGGTTTCTGGTCAGAAGCTGAAAGCTTTTTGGGTTTCCAGCATGTGTCATTTCAATGAAAAAAAATCAAAAATTTCCATGGAAAGCAGAAAATTTTGCTGAAATTCATTGTCGAAAGACCAATTTCCATCCAAAAACCAGTTTAGTCAGAAAATTTTCATCCTCCCTAAGTTATTTCATTAGGACCCATGTCATATCTTCTGTATCAGAATGATTATTTTCAAGTTCATTTAATAAACCACTTATTTTGAAGCACCTATCCCCTAACATTAGACATTCAAAGACCTAGATTGTCTCCTACCTAGGTGCCTACTCCAGCTCCTATTAAGATGGGGAAAACACGCATTGACTTTAATTTATGCAGCATTAGGGCCCATGAGAAACCTGTGAAGGAGACAAAACACTAAAAGGATTCCCACACAAAGTTTCTCAGAGTTAGGTCCTTGAGAGCAGAGTTGAGCTGGAGAACTATGACTAGGAGTGCAGGAGCATCTATGTGCAGTCTCTTTGCTTCTGCATGGTCTCCCACCCCAGCCTTCTTTAGTTCCCTTGTAACACAGCTCTAAAGGACTTATGTAGCCATGTCCTCTCATGACATAATACCTGTGCAACGTAGTCAGAAATAACTTCCAATTTGTGAGAGTGTTAATTTAAGGTGTTCATATTGATTTATAAAGCCTTGTGTGGATGAGTTTTACCTTAAGAGCTGAGATCTACTGAGATGCTTGATCAGTCTGCCTCCTGATTCAGATGGGGCCTGTTCTTCTGTATCGTTTGCAAACTGGATAACAATAAAACAGATTGCAGAGGAGAGTGACATTTTGCTCATGATACTGTCCCTCCTTATCTTTCAAGGGCAAAGATAATATCTAGTGTGGTATCTTGCTTCAAGCTATGGCTTATCGTAGCTGCTTTAGAGGAAGTTACACCTAGTAATACATATGGCCTGTGGTGCAGTACTGCCTACATACAGTGGACCAAAAACATAAATAGTAAAAATTGCTGCTAAGGTTTCAGTATTAAATTACTATGAGGGACAAGCCGTGCCTGAAGCTTGGATGCATGGAGAAATTCCTTGATGATTCACTGGTTTGGGAAATAATCAAATTACTTTCAAAAAGTTGAGTTTTTCTCAGTCTGGGAGAAACTGGCATCATCATGCGTTTTCTGCACCATGTGTAACACTTGGCAGTGTCTCCTTGTAGAGCCATAAAACAGCTGCCCTTTACAACTTTGGAAAAAAGGCAATTTACTGAAATTAGGTGATTCACCCATTGGGAACACCTGTTCTTTACTCAAATTGGGAAATCCCACACTATCTCTTAAGAAAGGCAAGATAACACATTTCAGTTATACAGAGCTATTAGCCAAGTAAGAGAAACAGAAATCCACTCTCAGGTATGTCCATACTACGTCAGATCAGTGGGGTCACGTAGTCCAGCATCCTCTCTCTGAAAGTGGTAGTAGATGTTCTAGAGGAAGTGCTTCAGAGTAATAAACATACCCACAGGGAAAGTTTCTTCCTAACCTCCCATCAATAATTTATGCCCAGAAGCATGAGGGTTTATACTAAAGCTGGTTGGGAATCTTTTCCACTAGAAAATGCCCTTTCCATAAAACTTTGATTTTTTTCATGGGAAAATTTCAATTTAAAAAATATCCTCCGGGGAAAAAGCAATATTGACAAGAGCCTTCCAGGAAGGGAGCTGGTAGGAGCCACAACCTGGCCCGGGCAATGGGGTGGAACGTATGCACTCAGCCTCTAGCAGCCTGCCTGCAAAGTTCTTGTCAATTCAGTTTTTTGCCAGTAAAAAATAGTGCTTTGGCAAGGCAGTTCTGACTGATCTGAGTTGCAAGGCACACTGAATGAAAGTTTAAGTAGAGCACCGTGGATAATCAGTGTAATTCCTAATCATTTAGGGATTTGTTTTTCAAATATTAGCTATAAAATGCAATTCTACTGACTTGTTGAGAATATTGTACATTTTTAAACTCTGCTGTATGTTATTAAAGGTAAAATCAGATGAGCTCTGGGAGAACACACATGCACCCTAAGAGCACAGCATAAAATGTACATTTCCCTTGTTTCATTTAAGGTAGAAATGAATCTTCGGTTGCCAATATAGCCATAGTATGCAGCACTTACTATAGACAAATCATTAAATCTCATCAAAACAAACAAAAATTAAGACATATCTGCATTTCCTTTGCCATAAAGAAAATTGCATCTCCACCATGGTCCAGGTTGAGCTTAAAGTCTGAGTCCATAAGTAAATGTAGCAGCAGCCATCTTTCATGCTGCCGGTGTTGACCTCCAATATTGCCTCAGGTACATTGCTTGACTCTTTTGGTGTCCACCTCAATTACTGTCCCTTGAAAGATTTATTTAAAATATTTAATGCCTTCATGGCCCAAGTGTTTGTTAAGCCATGAGGCTTCAGCACGACTCCCAGCAGCTGCTTCTTCTGGAACAGTGGCTGCAGACACTCCATGCCATTTGCAGAGCCTGCTTGGGCCTGTCCGTAAATGCACACTCAATCATCTCCATTGCCACCCTCTGTGCCAGCCAGTGGAACAAAGGGCCACCTGTGCCAACATACTGCTGCCTTCAAACAACTGCACCCCATGGCGTAAGCAGCAGGGAGGGCCCCACTCTAAGGGGAATGTCAGTCTCAAATGATTGAATATGTCAATGTTTGTGCATCAGAGAGATACAGATCTAATCTGTTTGCGATTTCCCTCTTCCCTTCTAAAAATAAACTTACTTCTTCTAGTTATGCAGCCATCAGTACTTCTATGCTTTTGCTTTTTGCATTTTTAAAATGTTCATCTATTCAAAAATTAGGAAACATCCTATAATCTCTGATTACATTCAAAATGTCTCTTTATTTGGGGGAAAAAGCTTGTACACATAGTTCTCGGTAGATGAATTCTCTCTCTACACAAAGGTACTTGACATGAACTTCAAAAATGTTCCTAAGCAACAATATCAAGATCTGGACCAAAAATAGTTTCACAATGCTTGTTTCATCTGGAGGAAGTGCCAAAAGCCACAGGATGCCTGGCACCTTGTCTCATCATTTTCTCTGGTCTCAAGTGAGTGAAATGTTACTGTTCTGATTTACCGTTGCAATCTGCACTAGCATAAATGACAAGCCCAGATGTTAGTATTTCTTAATCTGGAGGGAAGAGGTGGAGCAGGGACGTGGCCTTGGGGGAAGAGATGGAGAAGGAGGCAGGTCCAGGAAAGAGGCTGAGAAGGGGTCAGAACCTCAAGGGAAGAGGCAGAACGGGGGCAGGGCCTTGGGGCAGGGAAGGCAGAGCAGGGGACACGGTCTTGCGGGGGACGAGGTCCAGTTACCAGCCATTAGATAGCTAGCAACCCTATCAAAAGACTCCATTTGGTGCCTTAAAACCCTATCTGATTATGAAGGTTTTGTTTGTAAATTTTCGGGAAAGTTTCTGTAAGGTTTAGGGTGGCCATACGTCCCGTTTCAACTGGGACAGTCCCTTTTTTAAGCATTTGTCCCATTTGCTCTTGCCAACAAATACCCACTTTTGTCAAAAAAGTGGGATGCAGGGAAGAAAGGGGAGAAAAGCGGCAATGACAGCCCTGCGCAGTGGAGGAGGCAGGGCTCGGGCAGAGGGTAGGTAGGGCTCGGGCGAGCAGCTACGCCAGCCCCAGCCTTGCACAGAGGGGAGAGGAGTAAGCGAGTAGCGACACCAGCCCCAGACGTCCACAGGGTAGGGAGCTTGGGAGAGCAGCTTGGCCAGCCCCATGTGGAGGGGAGCTCGGGAGAGTGGCTCAGGCCAGCCCCTGAGTGTGTGTGAAGGTGGGGCTCAGGCAAACAGCTCGGGCCAGCCCCATGCAGTGATGGGGGCCTCGGGTTACCCCACCCTGTATCTCGTTTTCCCTTTGGGAAATATGGTCACCCAAGTTAGCGTGCTACGTTCTCTCCTCAGAGCATCTGTCTCTGCTCAGCCTTTCATGCACCATAATGTGTTCTACTAACACTGAGCAGATATACATGCCAGGCCACTGCGACATGGTCATGAATGACACTTACAGAAATGATCACAGGAGATGGCAGCATCCCTGCTCCCTTCTCCCTATGCCACCACTTGAAGTAGGTTTCCCTTTGGAAAAGGGAAAAGAAAACAGCAATGGAAAGGAAAGCGACACCATATGAGGCCAATCCACAGCTTTAACTGATGAAGATCAAATCAGACCAGGCAAATAGGATTTTTTATTTGTACTGCATTAGAAAAGCTGGCGGAGGGAAGGAAGGCAGTGGATGCAGTTTTTTGTCTGAACTTTTAGAAAGCATTCGATGCAGCATTTCACAAGCTGAAGGGATACAGAAAGAGGGCCACCATAAGCATGTATCAAGCCGGTGAAGAACGAGGAATCAGCAATATCGAGAGGGATGCCCCCGGAATACGTTTTGATCATTTAACATTTTTATTATTGGTCTGGCAGAAAGGGCAAATCGCACATAAAGGTGGGCAGATGTGTGATAAGTCTCAGCTCCATCACTAAGATGGGGAACATATTTTCAGCAAAGTTCTTGGCAGATTCCTGAGGCAGCTGGTCAAAGGCCATCAGTGTCCGGCATTATAATCTTCACTTATAGTTCTCTCACCTACAAAGCTGGAAAGTGAGGAATTTGTTTTCTTTGTTTTGCTGCTCCAGTTCCAGTTAACAAAATGTATGTTAGACTAGTTTGGCTGCAAAGAAGAATTCTAGGAACACTGGGGACAACACCCGATTCCTATAAGGCTGCAGAAGTGGGCTGACATCAGAATCCAAACATCCTCTGGTCAGTGCAAGCAGAGGCATTCCTCTAACGATTTGGACTTGATGTGATGCAGTATGGATGTTATAGATAATTCAGACCAATGGGGAGAAACAGAATCAAAAACACTGTTTAAACACCTTTCATTCCCACCATCCTTCCTCTCTTGAGGACGCCTGACCAATGTAACAGCACAAAACATATGCTAAGAAACTTAAACAAAGACTTTAAGTTTGTTAGCATATGTATTGTGCTGTTAAAGCCATCTAAAGAATGAATGCCCCCCTCCCCCATCTGCGTTCTGCTCCTCCAGGAGGTGCGGGGCATGCTAGCCCCAAGTCTTTCCAGTATCCCGTACCGCTAAAAATCTCTTGCCAGTACGGTGTACTGGAGAGTACCACTCTGCTTCCACTCCTGCTTTAAGGTCAGAAAGGACCGCCGTGATTATTTAGTCTGACCTCCTGAACATCGCAGGCCACAGATAAGCTATCTATTATAAGAATGCAGTGCGCACTAGTTGGTCATTTACTTCCTCTTCATTCATAGCCATAGCATGCTGCATGAATTCCTCATATAGTGGGCACATATTACAAAACACACAATCTGAGCCTAAGGTTTAATTAGTATCTAATGGGGCACAGAAACTCCATTCTGGGAACTGTATACCTGCTTTACCACGTAGGATGAAAATGTGCATATTCAATTTCCAAAATTACTTTCCTGTTTGCATCTTGATGAGCCACAGGATATGTAAAAGATTTACTTTTCAAATGGATTCATGCAATGGAGGGGCCCCCAGATTTACATTTTTTTAATGTAATTTCCCATCCCTGGCTGTGACTAGACTGTAAAATACACTGCTTGGCTTGAGGTAATTCAGAACATGTGCTTCCAGTCAGAGCAAGAACCAGGCAATACGCAGGTCTTGGAACCTTCCTTTTGAAAGATGGTTATTTTTTGCTGAACCCCAGTGAAAAGCTTGGAA